ACGTGATTTCGAAGGTTTCTCGTTCTAAAACTAGTATCAAACGACTCAGAAGGTCGAAAGAATGAAGAACCTTACCTTTTTGGCATCGATCCGTGAAAGTTCGAGGGTATTTGGTCTCGTCCGTACGGTTTCGAGAGGGAGAGAGTGTGACTGAAACGGAGAGGAGAGAGAGAGAGCACGGGGGAAAGAAAAGGGGAGTCCCGTGTGTGTGTTGTATGAAATATGTGTAATTAGTCCAAATAATATGTCACACACACACATATCTTAACACCCGTCAGGGTAATTCCGTCATTTCACGTCCCCGATATATAGAATCCCGGGACGGGCTGTGACATGTTTCTACCAAAATGCTCCACTTCTAATTCCATTCAATTAAAAAATTAATATAATAATATTATTATTAAATTTTCCAACAACACAATCAAATCCAATCAAGGATTTTCCAAAGATAAATCTTAGAGATATTATTATTTAATTAATAATATATCTAAAAATTTTTCTCAAGTATCTTTAAGATATTCCAACATCATAAAGATACTTTCCTGAAAATAAAATTATCAATCCTAGTGAGGTGAGTAGTTTTATTGACATTATCAATCCTTGTTTCACTGATTCACAAAATATTGTTTTACTAAAGGAAGTCTCAAAAAATGAAATTTGGACGGTTGTGAACAACATTGGAAGCCTAAAGGCACATATACCAGACGGCTTACATATGCTACCTTTTTCCAACATTGTTGGTCCACTTCTAAGCATTTTGTTGGTACATTGGTTAGAATTTTTTTTGATAATTAATCGTCTTAAATTGATTTACCATACCAATATTGCCCTAATTCTAAAAGTTGAGAGCCTTGAGACTGTTAATCCCTATAGGCCTATTAGCCTATGCTATTTCTTTTAGAAAATTATCATTACTAGGCTCAAACCTCTACTTGTGCACTGTATTCTAAAAACCAAGAGGCTTTCGGCCCAGGAAAATCAATCTAAGATAACATTCTTATGCTCACGAAATTTTCTCTGCATTTAAGAATAAAAATGACAGGTTGAGTTCCATGACAATTAAACTGAACTTCGGGAATGCCTACTATATTAGATTGGGTTCCATGACAACTAAATTTACTAAGCACCATTCTACGTTGGGAATATTTAGAATGGTGCTTAGTATATTTGGTTTCCATCCTAGTTGGATTAATTTGGTCATAGAGTGCGTCACTTCAACCTCTTTCTCTGTCCTAGTTAATGGAGAAGCTAAAAGCTATTTTTATTTTTCACGGGGAATCAGACAAAGTGATCCTTTATTCCCCTTACACTTTCATTTTATGTATAGAGCCCTTGATTAGACAACTAAATTTGTTAGCTTATAATTCTAAATCAGGCCGACTTACTTCCCCTTTAGGGTTTAGAATTTCTAATATGGTTTTTGCAGATAATTGTTTAATTTTTAGCAAAATCTCTAGTAAATCAACAAGCAGCATAATGACCCTCAGTAAGTTTTTTTCTACTTCTGGCCAAAAGATTAATTTCAGTAAATCGTCTTTGTATTTTTCTAGTAGTATTACTAATAGTTTGAGAAGTAATATTATTACTACCCTGCAAATTCAACATAAAACAACTATTGGTAAGTACTTGGAATTTATATTGTAATATTTTGGAATGATCCTGTCAATTCTAAAGAACTTATTCTCAAACTTAAAAAGAAACTTGTAGGTTGGAAGGCAAAATATCTTTTCCAGGGCTTGTAAACTAACTTTAATTAAATCCAACTTATATAGCATGCCTAATCATGTCATGGCTTGTTTTAAATGCCCTAACAAATAACTAATGCTTTAAACAAAGAGTGTAGAAATTGTTTATGGGGTAAATAAATTAAAATGGCCCCCGTTGCCTAGAAGGATTTTTGTACCCTTTGATAAACCTAGCTCGGAAACCCTAATGAACAACCGGTCCACGTCAGCACCACCAAACCTTCCCGCTGCAATCTGCAACTGAAAGGATCATAATTGTCAAACCACTAGCTGTACACCCTGGACAAAAGGAATGGTGCACATGGACTCAACATTCCTTTACAGCTAGTCACCACATGGTTTCTGCACTTGTGTTCTGATTGCTGCATCGTGGGCAGCAAGGACATCACTTGCATTGCATTTGTTTATTGCATGTGTGTCTGTAACAGTGTATATAAATATAAACTCTGCTGTTCATTGTAGTTAGAAAAGCAAAATAATAAAACAGTTTTGAATACCAAGTTTTTCATGGTATCTAAGAGCTGACAGTCTAAACGACCAAAAGCTTTAATTCTTTTTTCTCTCATGGCGTCCAGTTCAAGTCTCTCAAATCCCATTGCTTTTCCCTCTCTTCCAAATGCTTCCAACTTTCTGACTATCAAGTTGGATCGTACCAACTATCCCCTATGGCATGCCCAGATGTTGCCCTTGCTTCGTAGCAGGAATCTGGTGTCCTTTGTCGATGGAACCAACCCATCTCCTCCTGCCTTCTTGAAGGATGATGCCGGCCAACTCACTGATAAAGTCAATCCTGACTTTGATGCATGGATTCAGCAAGATGCTATGGTTCTCTCTTGGATCAACAGTTCGGTCCATCCCACAGTTCTTGCCTCTCTTATTGGTAAGACAAGTTCTATTTCTGCATGGACTTGTTGACGTGACAGGTATGCTTCTCAGTCTACTGGCTGTCTCCTCCAATTGCGTAGTGAGCTTATGAATACCCATCGTGGTGATTCCTCTATTGCTGAGTTTCTTGATCGCATTAATTGTCTTGCCGACACTCTCTCCCTCGCTGGTTCTCCTATGACTGACTCTGATCTTGTTGCCATTATTTTAAATAATGTTGGGCCTGCTTATGAGAGTATTGTTGCTTCTGCACAAGCACGGGATGAGGCCATTTCTTACAGTGCCTTGGAGGCTCTTCTTCTTGGTGCAGAGAGGCGTCAAAAGCTTCATACTGTGTTTGAAAATGGGCTCACTGCCCTTGCTGCTGGAAGAGGTCGTTCAAGACCTTCCCGTGGTCGCGGTGCTCCTCGCGGAGGCCGTGGTCACTTCAATGGTGGCCGTGGCCAGTTTCCTCCTCGTCCTCAAGGCCAGGAACACCATGCTCCTCCACACCGACAACCTCATGATGGCGTTTTTGGTGCTCCTCCTTCTCCAACCCAATCTGGTGGCCGTATCCAATGCCAAATATGTCGTCGTCACGGCCATTCTGCAATCGATTGTTTCAATCGCCTCAATATGGCCTATGAATGACGTGTTCCTACTCCACATCTCCAAGCTTATGCTGCTACTGGACCGTCTCCGGCATCTGCCTCTCCCTCTGGCATCCACAACTGGCTTTTTTACTCTGGAGCCAATGCACATATCACTAATGATTTGAATCAAGTTTCAAATCCTCGTCCCTACAATGGCACTGACAATGTTAATGGCGTGGTGGACGGATCAGGTTTGCACATTTCTCATGTTGGCACTTCTTTTATTCACACACCCCATCACTCATTTACCCTTCCCCACACCCTTCACTGCCCTAATGCTTCTACTAATGTTATTTCCATTAATCAATTTACCAAAGACAACCATTGTTCACTGACCTTATATCCCAATTCCTACCGTGTTCAGGACCTTCAAACGGGGAAGATGCTTTTGCAAGGCCGGAGTAAAAATGGTTTTTATCCATTTTTCAGTTCTTCTGTGGTCAACCATGGAGTCTCTGCATTTGTCGGTGTTAGAGTGTCAGATGCTATTTGGCATTCTAGGTTAGGTCACCCTGCAAGTTCTGTTTTGCGTAGTCTAATTTCCCAAAATAAATTACCTTTAACTGGTAATGCAACCTACGACTTTTGTTCATCATGTCCCCTTGGCAAAAGTCATAAGTTGCCTTTTAATTTATCTTCTTCCCAGTCATCCTTTCCTTTGGAATTAATACATTCAGATGTATGGATTTCTCCTTCTTATTCAATTAATGGTTACAAGTATTATGTTGTTTTTGTGGATGATTTTTCTCGTTATGCATGGCTCTATCCTTTAAAATTAAAGTCTGATGTTTTTCAAACCTTTGTTAATTTCAAAAAGCTTGCAGAAAATATGTTCAACACCAAAATTAAATTTTTTCAATCTGATGGTGGAGGAGAGTTTGTCAATTCCTCTTTTAAACACCTTTTCTCTCAACATGGCATTCATCATAGACTCAGTTGTCCTCATCATCCTGAGCAAAACGGTCTCGCGGAACGCAAACATCGTCATCTTGTTGAAATTGGCTTAACTTTACTTGCTCATGCGTCTCTCCCTCACACTTTCTGGGATGACGCTTTTCAAACTGCAAATTATCTCATTAATCGTCTTCCCACCAAAATCTTGAATGGCGTCTCTCCTTTCCAAAAACTGTTTTCAAAATCACCCCAGTATGATTTTCTCAAAGTATTTGGTTGTGCTTGTTTTCCCTATTTACATCCTTATACTGATTCTAAACTTAAGTTTCGATCAAAACAATGCATTTTCTTAGGATACTCATTAAATTATCAAGGTTATAAATGTTATGATTCTACCACTGGCAAGTCTTTTATGTCTCGTCATGTTGTTTTCAATGAAAAGAGTTTTCCATATAAAGAACTTGCTCCTCCGACCTTGTCAAACCCTCGTCCGTTAAACCATGTCCTCGACATTGATACCTTCCATTACACCCAAACCCATTTGACCCCACTGACCTCTCCTTCCCTTCCAACACCGATTGTCGCCACCTCCCTCCCTCAATCCCTACCACTACCTAACCCAGACTCCCATTCTCACCCATCAACTTCCACTACTCACGTGAATATTGAACCTGCCAACACCACTTCACATACTGTTCCTTCCACTCATCCCATGATCACGCGTGGTCAACAAGGAATTCGAAAACCAAATCCCAGATATGCTTGCATCACTAACGTTACTAATACTTTGGTTGAGCCCACATGTTTCTCACAGGCAAATAAGTCTCCATAATGGCGCCAAGCCATGGCGGATGAATTCAACGCCTTACAGCGTACTGGCACTTGGACTTTGGTACCCTACAAGTCTTCTATGAACGTGTTACTAAATAAATGGGTGTATCGCATCAAAACAAACTCTGATGGTTCCATCGAGCGTTTTAAAGCTCGCCTAGTTGCCAATGGCTTTCATCAGCAAGAGGGCATTGATTTCTGCGAAACCTTCAGTCCGATGGTCACACATGCCACCATTCGGCTCATTCTCTCTATTGCTCTTCACTTTCAGTGGCCTATCCGCCAACTTGATGTTCAAAATGCCTTCCTTCATGGCACGTTGAATGAGGAAGTTTATATGCGTCAACCTGCAGGGTTCGTTGATCCACAGTTTCCCTCTCATGTGTGTCGACTTCGACGGTCTCTCTATGGTTTGAAACAAGCACCCCGTGCTTGGTTTCAATGTTTTTCACAGAAACTAGAACACTTGGGCTTCACTGCTTCCCAAGCTGACTCGTCTCTCTTCACCTATTTTGATGGCTCAACAATCATTTATCTTCTCATCTATGTGGATGACATTTTAGTCACAGGGAACAACAATGCTCACTTGTCTCAGTTTATCACGCAGCTTGGTACTCATTTTGCAATGAAAGATCTTGGGCCCTTACACTACTTCTTGGGGATGGAGGTTTCCCAGACGCCTTCTGCTTTCTATCTCACTCAATCCAAGTATATTTTGGAGCTTCTACAGAAAACTAATATGGCTTACGCCAAGCCCATCTCAACGCCAGTTCCCAGTGGTAAACGCTTGAGTTTATATGATGGTGAGCCTCTCTCAGATGGATCTTCTTTTCGCAGTGTTGTGGGCGCCCTTCAATACCTTCTATTTACACGTCCTGATATTGCTTATGCTGTCAACCAAGTGTGTCAGTTCATGCACTCTCCAACTACTGCGCATTGGGCTGCAGTCAAACGCATCTTACGGTATTTGAAAGGCACACATGATCACGGCTTACTTTACAAACCCAGTCATCTCACTCTCACTACCTTCGCTGACGCTGATTACGCTGGCGACCCTGATACCCGTCGTTCCACTGGCGGTCACTGCATATTTCTTGGCAATAATTTAATTTCCTGGAGTTCGAAAAAGCAACGTGGAGTGTCACGGTCTAGCACAGAGACGGAGTATCGTCAACTTGCCTATACTTCTGCTCATCTCTCATGGTTTCGCAATCTTTTTCGTGATTTATATCTTCCATTACAGCCACCTCGTCTCTAGTGTGACAATATCAGTGCCATTGCTGTTGCTTCCAATCCTGTTTATCAAGCTCGCATGCGCCATGTTGAAGTGGATTATCACTACATCCGGGACAAGGTCATTCGCAAGGAAATAGAAGTTGGTTATGTAGCTACCACAGACCAAATTGGATTTTTTAACCAAGGGTTTGTCCTCTGCCCGCTTCCATTATCTTATCTCCAAGCTTCATGTTCGTCAACGCCTCGTCAGATAAACCTAGTTCGGAAACCCTAATGAACAATCGGTCCACGTCAGCACCACCAAACCTTCCCGCTGCAATCTACAACTGAAAGGATCATAACTGTCAAACCACTAGCTGTACACCCTAGACAAAAGGAATGGTGCACATGGACTCAACATTCCTTTACAGCTAGTCACCACATGGTTTCTGCACTTGTGTTCTGATTGCTGCATCGTGGGCAGCAAGGACATCACTTGCATTGCATTTGTTTATTGCATGCGTGTCTGTAACAGTGTATATAAATATAAACTCTGATGTTCATTGTAGTTAGAAAAGCGAAATAATAAAACAGTTTTGAATACCAAGTTTTTCACCCTTGAGTCTATGGGAGGCCTTCGAATAAGCAGAGCTGACCATTTTAATAATACATATTTTACGAAACTTGCGTGGAAGGTTATTACTGATAAAGATAATTGGTTGATCCAAATTGTTAAACAAAAATATTTAAGAAATGAGAGTTTTTTTTACTACTAAAGTAAATATCAACATTCCTTGGCATGGAGGGGTGTCCTGAATTCTAGGGATATTCTTTTAAAAGGTTTGAGATGGATTGTAGAAATGCACCCAAAGATTGAATGTTGATTGGAATTTAGGAGTGTGATTTTATTGATAACAGTTGGAACAAAACCTTATTGATGAGTATTTTGGACAGTGGTATTGTAAGAGATTTATAGTATCCCTCTTCCTTTGCAGGAAAGACAAGATTATTTGGGTCTGTCTACTAATGGTGAATTCATTGTAAAGTCAGCAACTTGGTTGCAAGTTAAGCACCAATTTGTACACCAAGCAGCTATGTTGTTAAACAAAATGTGAAAACTTTTAAATCTACAAAAGATAAAAATGTTTTGTTGGCTTCCATGAGATGCTCTAAATGCGAGTGAGATTGCAAATATTCTTTCCTAGTACTAATCTTGTTTGTTTGGTTTGTAATAATGATGGAAGAAGATCACCAACATCTTTTTGTTAGATGCAGCTTTGCACAAGAAGTTGGGATGGATTTAATTGATTGGTTAAGTCAGTTGATGCTAATGATGAAGTGGAGTTGTCTGATCTTAGAAGGGCTCTCCTCATTTGTTGGCAAATATGGAATGCTAAAAACAACATGATTTTTCGAAATAGTATAGTCTATCCTGCCAGAGTTCCAATGGTGTGGCCGCTACAGTTGGTAGAAAGTACTACAACACCAATAAAAGCTCAAGATCAGTTCGTAATTCCAATGTTGTTCACACATGTTCTCAGATTGTGCTCCATGAATCAAAATTAATATTGATGGTTCGGTGGTTGGATCTTAAGCGGCTGCAGGTTTTGCCACTAGTTATCATAATTGATCTCCTATTGTTGTTGGGATGCAGAATTTTAGGGGTTTATGAAGCAATTGTTTTGCGTGATGCACTAAAGTTTGCAAAAGTCAAAGGTTTTAAGGATGTATGTGTTCAACGCCTAGATGATTGAAGTGTAGAACGCCTAGATGATTGAAGACTATTGAGGATATTATATTACTTCCACAATCTTTTTCTTCTTTTTCTAGGGTCTAGCTTTTTCGTGAGGCAAAGTTTCTTGATGATGTCATTATTAGCGTTGAGCATTCCATTCATGATTCTTTTATTTGGGATATGTCTTTACCCACTGTTACGAAAAATGTTTTACTCTTTGGATGTTCTAGAAGCAGTAATACCCGAGATTTGTATCTATGAATAAATTTATTTTTCTATTAAAAATATCATATATTTGTGTAGATGACACATTTTTGCCAATAGAAAAATTATCAACACGAAAATATGATTGAAAAGATGATCGTACTTTCTAAAAGTTATTCCAATTTTGGCATGGGTATGTGAGATTCTTCTTTCCATATTCGACAGACATACAAATTCCTATATTACACGTGTGGGGACGACAATCAAAGGATACCAGTCCATAGGCACATACGTGTGCCAATTGACTCCGTAATTTTTTTATTGAAAATTTTGAATTTAGGCGTTTTAGTTAAAACGGTCTATGAGATTAGTATAATTCTTTAGTTTGATCTTTAGGATTTGAAATTGATTGAAGTGGTCCTTGAGTTTCCACCATAAGTTATTTTTGTCATTCCGTGAAATATCTCCATTAAGTTAGACCAAAATAACAAAAATATTTTTGAATTTTGTCAAAACATTTTGATCCATTGTTTATTAAATTAAGCATATTTTTGTCATTTTGGGCATTTTTAAACAGAGGTTTTTAACGGAATGACCAAAATGATTGATGGTCGACAAATTCAAGGGGCCACTTCTATCGATTTAAAATCTTAGGAATCAAAGTGATGAGTTATGCCAATCTTAGGGACTATTTTGCTAAAATACCTTTGAATTTATTGCCATTTAGTTTTATAGTTTATTAGTATTTATTTTCACTTATAAGTTATTAGCATATGGGCACACACAAAATGTGTGATAAAATTTTTTATTTTTGTTTTTTTTAAATAGAAAGAGAGAGGAAGAGAGTGATAGAGAAAGTGGAAGTGAGAATTTTTTTTTTTTTAATTAGAGATATGTTAGGATTACATGTAGGTGAGAATTTGAAAAAAAAAACAGCAAAATTTGGTTGTGTGAAATTACATTTATGTCCCATATTTCTTATTCATGTTCTGTTTTAATTAGAGGGTCAAATTGGTAATTTTATAAGATTTTGATTAACAATAAGTGTTTTATTAATTAGTAGAGATAAGTGAGATAAACTGGTTCAAACAAACCGCATAACTATGGTTTCGTTTGGGTGGGCGATCACCTACATCTCCGAGAGAAACTACAAGTTATTAAATGTTAGTGGTCCTTTACTATATAGGGCATAGAATAAAGCACATGCGTTGAAGTAACGCGGTGCATCAACTTTATGGAATCTTGTCTATCATTACCTCGTTTTAATTAATTCGGATTAAAGTGATAAGAATATATACTTGTTTACTTTACGATCCCTACATATACACTTCATTTCTTTCAAGTTCCACACCTACACGTTTGTTTGAGTATTGCTTAGGGCAAACTTAACAGTCCCAACACAACCGTTTGTGAGCCACCTCTCTCTCTCTAATGTCTAGTTATTGTCCTCTGTTTCTGCATTAATATATATAATGATTTATATATGAACATGGATTTCTTATTATTTGAAGATTAATGGCTGGTTATATATAAGCTCGTGAGATATACTAACGCATGCAAATGTTTAGAGATTTACGTCCTGCTTAATTGGAAAGCATTTTCTTTATCTAGGGTTCTGAAGATTGGTCCCAGAGTAATGAGTTTAAATTTCTGCATCCATTTTGTGTGTGGTTTTGCTGACATTTATAATTGATTGACAAGTGTTCATAAACTTAACCATTCTTAACTCTGTTGTCATAAATTTAATATGTGTTAATCAATGATCGATGCCACAAAGAGACCACACACAAAATGAGTGTAGAAAACTGGTCGCGGGATAATATCTTTTATTATTATAAGCTAAGCATAGCAATATATTGTTGCAATTATCTATGATATGTTACAACAAAATTCTCTAACATGTTATGTTCCTTAAACCATGAATTAAGTAAAATCATGACTTAAGGTGCCTCCCATTTGACAAGTACTAGATGATCATTTTATCTAAATACGTAGTGATGAATTTTTCAAGGTGTCATTTTATGGTTGGCGCGTTTTATAATTACTTGTTTTATTTTATTTTTCATTTTCTTCAGTAATTTTTGAATAATGATATGCAGGTAGGCATCAATCTCACGTACTTGAAGATGGGAGGTGGAAAGCAGGAGAAACATGAGACAAGTGAGAAAGGACTATTTTCATATGGTTATGGTGGATCACACCCTCCACAAGGATATGGATATCCCCCGCAAGCATATGGTGGTGGTGGATCATACCCTTCTTCAGGGGGGTACCCTCCAGCTGCGTATCCTTCTTATGGGGGATATCCACCAACCTCCTACCCTCCACCCGGTTATTCAGGTACTTCAGCGTCTTCCCATTCTGCATGCAATCGAATCACATCACGGTTGTCCCTAATCTATTTTTTAACTTTATGTTTTTCTGGGTTTATAATAATTTTGAATTTATATTTACTTGGGTACTCTACACAATTATAGGCCAATAATATTCATGGGTATATTAATCAAATGGCGGAATTCAGAATTTTATTGAAGGATGACAATCTGATTGTGTTTTTTTCCCCGCATTTACAATGGAAGAGATAGAGAGAAGAGAAATATATGAAGGAAAATATTATGGAGACCACATTTTTAACAGTTTGCATGACAAAAAATTAGACACGGAATGATGAAACAAAAGAAAATACATAGATATAAAATTTTGAAAGAAAACTGTTATTAACACTCTAAAAATAAGCATATTTTTCTTTTTAAATATAGAAAGTTTAGAGTGTACAATGAAATTTTTAAAGTACCAATAACAATTTTCTCATTTTGCATCAATATTTATCATTTGATATTCTTAATTTTCTTCCAGCTAGTGATCATTATATATGAAGAACCAACTAAAATGAAATTAAAGTCTAATATATATATATATTATATATTTTTGTTTTCTTGGTGACTGAAAGATTATTACGTACAGGGCATGGATCTGGCATGGGAATGGGAGGGATGTTAGCTGGGGGTGCTGCCGCAGCTGCTGCTGCGTATGGTGCTAACCATCTTGTGCATGGAACTGGGGCACCCCATGGCTATGGCGCTTACCATGGTTCCCAGGGCTAC